CTTCTTTTATTTATAATTTTATCTGTGGTTTTATTGTTTTGCTCTTGATTGTAAAGTGTCCTTGAGTGTTGTGAAAGGCGCTTATAAATAAAATGTATTACCCTGTATTATTATTATTATTATTGTTCTTATTATTATTATTATTATTATTAAGATATCCCCCCCCCCATCCCCACGCCCCAGGTATGTTTACCACAGCTCGCAGTGGATGGTGGCGGGAAACACCGACCATTCTTGCATCTCACCAAGGCTCTACGTGCACGCAGACTCGCCGTGCGCGGGAGAGACGTGGATGCGTCAGGTGATCAGCTTTGACCGGGTGAAACTCACCAACAACGAGATGGACGACAAGGGACATGTAAGTAAGCAATGACCCAAACAACCTACAAGAAAACCACGAAGGATACCTGCTCTGAGCTGTAGTTTTAGAAATCGAGATGAATAAATCTTGTTCTTTATGTGCAGACACTGAAAAGCGGGCCCCTCAGTATTCATTCAATCCTGAGCATTTGCGAGTTAAAAAAAACGTTGAGGTTTTTAACTTGATGCACAAATGTCAATATTGTGCTGGGCTTCATTATTTTGTTGAAAAATACCCACAAGTCAGGAACACGTATAAGTTGGAGAAAGTAACACACAGCAAACAAGCTTGAAAAGGTTTCATTTGACTTAGTCTTGAAATTTTATGTTGACCCAATGTATAATATCTTGACTTTTATGTCCATGGCCATTTTTTCCTCCTGTGCTTTAAGAATAAAATGGTATTTAATGTAGGGATTAAAACAAAGAAAGAAAATGCAGGTTCATGGATTTTTGAATATGAACATAAAATTACAAATCAAAATAATACATGAGGAAAGACATCGTTAGAAGACTGTTCAACCAATGATTTGTCACACTAGGAGTTATATTATTGTATTTTTTTCAATTGACAATGTAACTAATGCATTTATAGTAAACCATGAACATAACTTTTCAAATTTTAACGTTGAAATTTTCAGCATCGAAAGCATAAGGAAAACATTATTGTTTTACAAATTTTGCCCTAAAAAGATCAGGGCCCCGAATAAACACCATATTAATGATTTTCTTTGGTATGTATCCTGTATATACTGCATACCAACTTGAATGGCAGGAAAAAATTAAGACAGATTCATGACACTGTTTGGCTCAGACTGTATAGTTGTTGACAATGCAATCTTTGCATCAGCAAACGACTTGATTGTTGTCGTCTAGTCTTTACTATATGCATGGTTTTGTTTGGTCAACATTCATGAAAAAGTAAATGGTCTGTTTTCGGCCGCTTTTCTCTTTGCTGTATTTCCTTTTCTAAAATGACATGTTTGGACTATTGGTTAAGATGGCTGATGACATCACTTATATTTTAGGAAAGTACACAGTTTTTTTTGTTCCACTGTTTTTTGAAACATTTCTATACCAAGGTCCGCATGTTAATTTGCATGCTAATTTGGAATGTTAAATTTAAGTTACAGAAAAACGCAGCTACTGTATAATAGCACCTTCTCTTGATCCAGATAATTCTACAGTCCATGCATAAGTACAAGCCACGTGTGCACATCATCCAACATGACCCTAGGATGGACTTGTCCCAGATCCAGTCGCTGCCCGCTGAGGGAGTGTTCAGCTTCTCCTTCCCAGAAACCGAGTTCACCACCGTCACAGCCTATCAGAATCAACAGGTAACGTAAGCTGAAACCGCATGACTCTATTGCATGCTTAAATGGTCTGCATGCTCATCAAATACAAATGTTTTCAGCAACCCAGTTTGATGAAAAATTTGAAAATTTAAAAAGAAAATAAAAAAGTCCATCCTTCCCGTGCCAAATATATTCCAAAAGCAGATGTGGAGTGATTATTATGCTGATTCGGTCAGCAGCTTTGGTCTGTCTGACCTCACAAAGTTTAAATCTCAACATCTTCAAGGTGATGACGCCCACGTTCATGTCGGAACATCAAAAAATGTCCTGGTTTCCAGTGGCGCTCGTTGCTCATAGCGAGAGTGTGTGTGTGTGTGTGTGTGTGTGTGTGTGTGTGTGTGTGTGTGTGTGTGTGTGTGGGAGCCTGCTGCCGGTTACTTTTCTTCAGTAACAGGCGTCCAGCACCAGGACTGCCAGTGCCAGCCCTTTTCATTAGGGTTCACTTTTATGATCAGTGGCGGCATTATGACAGAAACTAAATAGTGAACTATGACTGGGTTGCTTGTTAGGGTCCAAAGGCTATTAAGGCAGTGAAAAAAAAAATCTCCCTGAAAACCATATATGACACGGCAGATCACTCTCGGGGCTGGTGGGAGATGTAGTCCTTCAGCTAGAGAGCTCTGCCACTGACTGTGTTCCTGTAAAACTGATCTTATCGCTAGCCTACTATTTATCCAAACTAACACATTTCCTCACGTCTTTGCAAGATCACAAAACTGAAGATCGACAGGAACCCGTTTGCCAAGGGCTTCAGGGATCCAGGAAGGAATAGGTACGGAAGACTTTGGATAAAATCAACACGTGTGAACTGTAGCTGCAGAAAACACTTCATTACTGGGCCCAAGATAGACGTTAAGTTGAACCAGAGAAGTTCGATACGAGATAAAACCTCGTCGCACCTCCCACATCCAAAATGTAAATACCTTATATGAGGATTTTACCTATTTCTACAAGTTTTATGTGTTTTTCTTTGTGCGGAAAGAGGAGTGTTGGATGGTTTGCTGGAGTCTTACCCATGGAGGTCCCCTCTCAGCTTGGACTTCAAGCCATTTGCCATCCAGCTTCAAGGTATCCATGACTGCAGCTTGCATTCTTGCTTCTGTTCCATTCTTCAAAGCTATTCTCATTCATGTTGTCTGGCACCTTGTCAACAGGGAGCTTGGGGTCCCCAACCAGCACCGCCTCCCCGCTGAAGAGTCTCCTGCCCCTCTCAACTTCATCATCATTTCTTTCGCTCTCCTGCCAGGACACCGCTCTTCACACTCTTGCACTTCCTTTCTATGGAAAAACTACGACCAGCCCCACATTGGCTAGCAGAGCCTTTTCCGCCGTGGGAGCCGAGAGACTCAGAGATATGCCGTCAGTGTCTCCGCTTACAGATCCCCCACTCTTCTCTATGCTGCAGGGAAAGAAACCTTCCAACTGTCGTGATCCAGGTCTTTCTCAATCGAGCCCCCCGTGCTTGATACCCATCCCAAGCCCTCAAGGATCTGCTTCCTCGTTAATGCCTCACCTCTCACAAAGTCCTGGCCCATATTGTCTTTACCACTATAGCTTCCCATTGAACCCTCAACTTGCAACTGTTTCCCGACACACCAAACTAGCTGAAGACAACGCAGAGGCCCTACTGCGGCAATCTTCATGGCATCTGGCCAGCAACCGTCGTCTCTGACCATCTTCAGCCCAAGGAGAGTAACAAGCACAGCGTGCTACAGCTTTCTGGAGGGGAAACATCAGAAGGAGTTAAAACAGAGCCGTCACTGAAGGGATTATTTGTATTTAAGAAATATTTTGATCGCTGTGTCTGCGGTGCCAAAAACAAAAACGAAACATGAAATCCAAAAGAAACCTCTCCTCACTGTACGCGCTCAAAACCAAAACCTCGCACCTGTCCACTATAATTAACTAAAGAAAGCATTTCCACATAGTCCATGTTAAATGAACTGATAAATACTCTCTGCACCTTTTGATTTTTATCAGTGAATCGGCTGGTTCAATAATTAAGTTGTTTTTAATATGTCCTGAAAACAAATGCTCCAGCATTAACATCATACAGTGGCAAAAAGTAGCTTTTTCATGGGAATGAGTGCTGCACAGGGTTTTGCGGCGTCTCCACACTTTAATTTTATAATTTACAAATGTAAATATCTGACAAACATAAAATGCAGTTTTGTGATTTTATTTATTAATGAAAAAAATTATTCCAAGCGACCTGTTCCTGTGCAAAAAACGAAATGACCGCTGTTGGAAATCACAAATTAATTGTGGCTAATCAAGTTGGTTTGAAAGCTGAGTTCTTTTTCACCGAACACACTGAAGCCTGATTAACGACAGACCCGTTCAATCAAAAAAATCACTATAATGGACCAAAAAGCTGCAATACATTGCCATGATTCAAAGATATTCAACAACAGATGAGAAATAAAGTAATCCACATCTGTCAGTTTGGAAAGGGTGACAAAACCATTGCTAAAACTTTAGGACCCCGGCAAATCATGGTGAGAGCGATTATCCACAAATGGAAGAAAATATGGGACAGTGTTGAACCTCCTCACCAGTGGCTGGCCGATAGAGTTTATTCCGAGATCACAGTGATGATTCACCCAGGAGGTAACAAAGGAACCCAAGACAACAGCTAAAGAACTACAGGCCTCCCTGCCCTCATCCAGTTAAGGTCAGTGTTCAGGTCTCAGCAAGAAGGAGGAGACTGGGCAAAAATGACATCCATGGCAGAGCAAAAAAAAAACAAAAAACTACTGTGATTGGCTGGCAGCCACTCCAGGGTATACCCTGCCTAAATTCTCAAAGACAGCTGGGATAGGCTCCAGCCAGCGACCCTATTGACGATCATGCGGTTCAGAAAATGGACAGATGGAAAAAAAAACATCTAAATGATTCCCAAGACTTTTGGAAAATATTCTATGGACTCACAAGATAAAAGTTAAAGTTTTTCGAAGGTCTCAGTACAGTTGGCATAATTGTACCACAGCATTTCAAAAGCCACAGTCATGAGTCAAGCCACAGTCATCGTGGTTGTAGCATGATTGTGTGGCCTGTTTGCTCCTTCAGGACCTGGACAACTTGCCTTGATTGATGGAACCATGAATCTCTACTCTTTACCAGAAAATCCTCTAAGAGAATGTTTGACCACCAGTTTGTGATCTGACACTGAAGCGAACTTAGATTTTGCAGCAGGACAATGAAAAGAACACCAGCAAGTCAACTTCTGAATGGCTTAAAACATCAAAATGAAGGTTTTGGAATGGCCCTGTCAAAGTCTGGACTTGAATCCCCTTGAAATGCAGTGGCATGATCTTGAAAAGCCCAACAATTCTGCATGGAACAGTGGGGGAAAAAAATATCTCTGCAGAGAAAGACTTACTGCCAGTTTAAGAAAATTCTTGATTTCAGCTGCTGCTGCTGAGGGTGGCTCAACCACGTCTTAAATTTAGGGGGCAAATTCTGTTTCACACAAAATCAGATAGCTTCCAATAGTTTCTTTCCCCTTCACAATTAAAATCACATTTTAAAAAACTACATTATGTTTATCTTGTGTGATCTTTGTCTGATATTTACATTTGTTTGATGAGTGAACTTGGGTGGGGTGGGGGGGGGGGGGACATCAATGTGAGAAGAGGACAAAGACATTTTCAGGGCATCCTGCTGAAAAATACTCCACTTAGAACACAATCCTTTACTTTTAGAAGACAACGCAAAGACCGTCTCCTTTAACATAGCCGTGTCGTCATGAATGTAATTACGATAACAATTCCAGAACGGTCAGTAAATACTTCTGACACTTTCAGAACAAGATATTAAATAGTCTGTCGCTGATGTGACAATTCCCTGATCGGCCTCAATCCTCCCACCCCTCCTTCTAGGAATCTCGATTTGGGCAAAGCAGGGGAAATGACCTGTTTCCCGACAAACGTTCAAAGCCAAACAGCAATTACCTTGTCATGGCCAAGCATGACAGTGAGCTAATGCTTGCTGGACGTGGAAATAGCAGGAAGAAGTTAATTGAAGAACTCAGGCAGGGGATTGCCTGGGTTTGAGTGAGTGGTCAGGTGCGTTGCTATCAAACAGCCTGCCCTTTGTCTGCAGACACACGTAATCTGGGCTGCTATTTGATACTGTCTGTCATTTCCATGTTTGCCTACGCAGGACAATCAGTTTTAACTCCCGACTAATTCCTGATTTTTCAATTAGACAAATTGCTTTCATACCGGGAGAGTTGAACTTTGCACCTGCCTTCAAAATATGCGATCATGCACGCGCCCACAGACACGTGTGCGTGCGCACCCGCATGCGTGCGTTTACACACACTCATAAATCGTCTTTGGTATGGAATGTGTTGTTGAGACATTTTCTTTCACGAGGTAAAAAGACAAATATGTCGATCTGCCTTTTCTTCGCACTTAAATGGTGCTTCGATATGAAGATAATACACCGAGCAATATAGCCAAAGGCCTTCTCTTTTGTTATTGAACGAAACTCACTTGCATTCTGTTAATAAAGGGAGTTCATGCAAAAACAGTATCTCGGTCATTTAAGATTTTCCTTTGTTTTGATTCTGTTTTCTTCTTCATGCTGCAATAAGCATGGCAACTGTCAACATCAGTTTTGTGTTCTGGCATGAATTTTTTTTTTTTAATATTCTGCAAAAATGAAATTCTGACAAATAAAATGCATTTAGTTTGAAAAATGTAAAAGTTACTGCGGGAAGACATTTGAAATTATTTGTATGAAGAATCACCCCCTCCGAGTAATTTGCTTGCTATCATGTCAGCATGTTATTCTTGAAGGTGGTGGCGAAAACAAAAAGTAAACTATTCTGATTCAACTTTGTAACAACACAGGATAGGAGGTTCCTGGACTGCTCTCGTCTGATTGACAAGGAGTGAAGGGAGAGAAATTTGACCCCAAAGTCATTTGCTTCCAATCATGTGAAATGGCATCCTGAAATGGGAGAAGCGAGCCTGCAAGTGTAAATATACTCTGCCTTCATTAGATTAACATACATTTCGCTCACACACGCCACATGCATACAAGTTATCTTCTAATAATAGCTGCTGTTTAGTGTCTCACGAGCACAAAGATTTACGACATGCGGCCTTCAGCCTCCCTTGTATTTGGCTCTCTGAATCTTGTTTACACTGGATGCTATTTTCTCGACAAACTTAATAAAAGCTTGTTATTTATTGGGTGGGATTATTGAACGTGACTGACCTCAGCTGTAAAGTTTAGAGTGAAAACAGCTGTGGCCGAAATTGAATTACACTAAGTGAGTAATGTGAAAAGCAAGGGCAGTTTAACAGTTATTAAGTGCTCTTCTGGAGACCAATCGGACAGACGTACTCCTCCAGGATAGTGAGATTCTTTTGCCTCTGCGCCGCTTGCCATTGGTGGGTGCATTCTTTTGAGCTGTTACCTCGTGTAGCTGGTTAGCGCTCATCATGGACTCGGACATCTTCATCAGCGGGTGTTCTTAGTGGACGCTCAACAGGGCAATGGCAGAGGTAGAACTCGTCATGTTGCATGAGAAGGGAGTATGCGTGCTCCTAGTAAAATGTCAGCAAGTATGGTATGTGTGTGTGGGGTGTGTGTGGGGTTGGGGAGGGTGGGGGTCTGTGGAGAGAGGTGCATTGGCATGTGGTCCCTGACAGGCCCCTGTCTTACAGGAGCAGAGGTTAAATGATTGTAGGACAAACAGTTTAAACACGTGGCCCCGCACCTGGCTTGCATATGTGTGTGTGTGTGCGTGCGTGTGTGTGTGTGTGTGTGTGTGTGTGTGTGTGTGTGTGTGTGTGTGTGTGTGTGTGTGTGTGTGCGAGTGTGTCTGACACACGTTGAAAAGTGAGTTTGATGTGTAACCAACATGTAAGCCACGTCTATGAGTGAAAAACAAGAGATTGTGAAGCTGAGAGATGCAAAATCAATCAGATGCTTTTTAAACATTGGCAAAACCATGCATTCATTTGGAATGTGCTGAAGAATGAAAACCACTAGCGTAGTAAGTAACAGATGTCAGGCGACCCACAGAAAACAGCAGCAGAAACATTTGGAGCGCTATAAAGAAAACCCATAATGGTTGGGTGTCATCAGCAGCAACTTCCAGATGGCTGGAGTAAAGACATCATCATTTGCTGTTCACAGAAGACTTCTTGAACAAATGAGAATGAAGATGCAAAGCACTCGTAGAAGAGGAAAGTTAGGCTCGAATATGCCCAATAATCTAAGGAACAGATGAGACAAGATTATTACCAAAGGGATGGAAAGACTTCGTTTGTGGAAAGTAAGGATCTGCTCATGATCCCCAAAAACAAACAAAGTAAAACTAAGGTCATATTTGCGGCTTTCCATGGCTTCTTCTGGAATGGGATCATTAATCTTCACTGATGCAACACACGACGTCAGCAGTAAAATGAATTCAGACATCATTTTGTCTGCCAATGTTGTAAAAGACGCACTCACACCGATTGGGAGATGTTTCAAAAATGCAGCAAGTTAACCCAAAACAGCAAACATTAGGGGCAAGACGTGGACGAGCATGCATTAACCTGCTAGCGGCGAATGAGGAGAGATTGAACAAGTGAAACTAAAAGACACAATAAAGAGAGCCAAAAAAAGCATACAAATGTTTGGTGAGGAAAATAGTTCACATGGTTTGCTGCGGTTATTAATTCAAAGACGGTGGCACAGATTCTGACTGGTTAGCACATCCGCTTCCCAGTTCAGAGGCCGTGAATTCAAATCCGGGCTCTGGTCTTCCTGTGTAGAGTTTGTGTGTTCTCCCCGGGCCTGCGTGGG